TTTAATGCATCAAACACTTGTGGCCAGTAAAAGGCAACAAAACTGGCAGTGTGTCCGTGTGGCTACCAGACCTAGTTCCTTCTTAATTCCCATACATTATTTCCCCCACATTCCTTAAAACTCTTGGCGTCCTGCACGCCTTCCTTACAGCTACCCGCCAGATGCGATAAAGTCGTCTTCGAATATACAGTATGTCTTACAATATAAGTTATATGCAACGGTCCGCATTTTTTTTTTCTTTTCACAGCACTAGAGAGGACCCTGTTAAATAGGGAATATGAGTCTGAATGGCTTATTCACAAATGGGATCCAGATTCAGTGATTGGGGACGCAGACAGCACAGTGAGCTCCTCGGCGAAAGTGGCAAACATCATTCTGCTTTCTGCCTCCAAAAAAAAAAAAAAAACACGGGTGTCCGTCGGTTCTCGGCTTCATGATCCTGCTCCTGCAAAAATGCACACAGAGGGGCCGGAGCGCGTCTCGCCTGGAGACCTCGCGGCGTGGAGCGGAGGCGCTAACCCATGGCGGTGACCATGCTCGACGGGTGGTGGGGTCCGAAGGACAGGCTGGACGGCGGGTGCATCGGCGTCGGCGTGGTCAGCATGTGGCTGGTGTGGCTGAAGGGCGAGATGTGGCTGAGGGTCGGCATGTGTCTGGAGAGAGCCGCGGGGTTGAAGGAGCCGCCCTTGGGGAAGTCCTCCAGGGCGTCGTGCACCTTTTTGCACTTTTTGGATTTGCTGGACATTTTCCGGTTTCTGGTCTGGATGCCTTCTTTCTTCATCGTCAGGGGTCTGTTAATCTAAACAAACATCGATTTTTTTTTTTTTTTTTTTTTACTTTTTTTGCCGGCTCTGAAATGCTGCAGGCTTTCGCACCCCCACCGGGCTTTCCTCTGGAGGCCCCGGCTCAGGGATCTGCTTTCGGGGAGCCCCTTCCTGCCCCTCCTTTCCCCGGGACCCAGAGTCCCGCAGGCTAGGTCTGCGATGGAGTTCCGTCAGCCTCTACCAGCTTCAGAACCCAGAGGCCACAGGTGAGCTGTTCCAAGCAGAGGCTATTCGTTATGTTTATCCGCATGGGTCATTTTGGGGGGCAACTCGCCTCAGGAACTGGGCATCCTCAAGGACACATATTCTAGAGACCTACCTGGTATGACTGCATTTCTAAACGACAGAACTTCAGGCAACTAAAATCTAAGACCTGGTCTTACTTAGCGAGGGTTTCCTCATCAGCACGTTTCATGAGAATGGAAGCGGCAATCTAGGCATCTTCAGGGGAGAAACGATAGTCTGTCTACCCGTCTGAAATCCACATCGGGGCGTCAGGGCAACGAGGACTGCACCCCCCTCTTCGGAGAGGCATTCGGGTGCCTCTCTCCTACCTGGCCTGTTCGCAGTCGAAGGTGCTGGCAAATCTTCCCCAGAAATGTGTACGTTCTGGGGTCGTATTTTAATACACATCTTTCCAAAAGGCCCTCTCTTGCCCATGTCACAGCAACTGTGATGACCGAAAGCTGTCATCTCTACCCAGTTCTGACCACTCACTTCTTCTAACCAGAGGAAGAGCTAAACAACCAAGCGACAAGTATTTAATAACCACTTAGGGGGTGCACAGTACTGTGCCAGCAGGGAAGTCCTCTCACCCGAATATTCAAAGACCGGGAATGAACTGAAGGGACAGAAGCAACATTCCGAGGAGACTCACTGGTTTTGTTTATTTTTAAATAGCTTTGCTCCGGGACGTGGGGTGGGAACCAAGACAGGGAACATCACACAGCCACAGAGACCACGCCACAGAGACCGTGCTCCACAGGGAGTCACAAACGGGCGAACCGCAATAGTAGACATCTGCCCACGAGCAAAGCGCGCATCTGGCCACATGTCCAGGGAGGGTGCCAAAACAGCCCGAGGAGCGGACGCCCGGCTTCGGTCATTTCTGACTCCGTGGGGGAGAAACGCCCTCCTCCTCCACGATCTACCTGTCTGCTCCAAACGCGAGCAAACAGTGAAGAAGGGAGGATGCAGGTGATCAAGAGGGACGGGCTGCTGACAAGGCTCCTGGGAGCAGCAAACACACAGCTTAGCTTCCTGGGGCTGAGATGGGAGAGGTGACCGTGGAGGGGACACAGAACCTCACAGGGGAGGTGAGGCCTGGCACCAGGAAGGCAACATGAAGGCAGAGGAGCCAAAAGGTCCATGCCAACAGAACATCTCAGGGTTCCTTCTTCAAAGTTATGATCGAGATGAAGGTGCAGCCAGCAGAGGTGATAGGAATCTACCGTCACATCAAATCTCCCCCAGATAATGTCTAGACACACAGCTCTTTACCCGGATATCTAGATACACACAGGCAGCTATCTAAATATAATATCTAGTTACACAGATAGCCACACAAACCCAGATAACTAGTCCCAACACCGCCTAGATACACTGATACTGAGAGACGTGTAGTTATCTAAACACCTAGATAAGCAGAAAGGAACTAACTTATGGCACACACACACACACACCCAGGTATCTCCATGAGCAGGGCGAAATACAACGCGATGAGAACATTAATAGATTATCATCTCTTATTGTTAAACGCACCTATATCACACACATCAATCACCTCCTTCCATAAATTCTTCTAAAACAAGAGAAGACAGTAAAAGGACTCTTGACAAGCCAGCTTCTCTCTCCCACTGCAGCCCAGCCACGAACTCAGGAGCTATGAGACTGGGCTGGGAGTGAGCAGTGAAGAGGGTTCCTTGACTCTGAATTGATGAGAAATTCCTATTCTCCAGAAATAATAAATAAATAAATATATATATGTGTGTGTGTGTGTGTGTGTGTGTGTGTGTATACACACACACACATATATATATACACACACACGCACACACACATATGTATATATATATATATACATATACATATATGTATTTACATTAGACACAATCGAGATCATTTCTCACGATGATTAAGCAGTCAAAGAAATTTACAGCTGGTGAATTTCCCATAATGCCTATACTTCCGTGGAAGGAGGAGAGAAATACATAGACCTGCACGATTCCTTGCTCTGAACTGAACTGGGGACATGCTAACAGGAGAAAGCGTTCCCATCCCCTTCGTCCTGACGCCTCCCAGGAAAGCCCCCTGAACTCGGTCCTGCGTCTCCACTTCATCAGCCACGAGTTCCCTTGCTTCTCTGAGTCATAATTTTTTCAAGTAAACTGGAAATAAAAATAAGTTCTACCCCGTCTACATCGTGGGACTATTTGAGGCTCCAGTGTAATCAAGTAATGTGAAAGTTCTTTGAAAACCATAAATGACTACCCCAAAATAATTTTATAGGCTATGCCGATGACTGGTGGCTCATAAACTGTAATGCCCCAAATCTGGCAGATTTCAATCACAAATCTGCTTATCCCCCACTGCAGGGAGCAAGTAAATTCTCCAGTGAAAATGGGGTTTGGGTTGCATCGCTGAGGACTGGTCAGGGGCAGGGGACGAACAGCCAGCCGACTGTGTGAAGACCCTGGTTCCATCAGAGCTGGCACTGCTCGGGCACCGTGTCAAGAAGGGGTGACACCGAAGGCTGGTAGGTGAGTTTCACAGGGTCGTCCCTGGGAATCAAAGCAACTTATCCCCAAAAGGCAAAAAAGGACTGCCGTGCTGGGGTCACCCTCAGAAGTCCTCCTGTGACTCAAAAAATTTAACCAGAAACGCTTCCTCCCCAGTTCCCAAGTAGTCATGGGTGAGATGAGGTGATGGATGCAGACTGGCTGCAGGCAAAAAGCTCTGCCTTTTCCCCGTTCAGCTCCAGACTTCCCCAAAGTAATAACAGTCCTGTAATGCCTACCAGGTCAAAATGGAAAAGAGAGAGAGGTAGAGAGAGAGAGAGAGAGAGAGAGAGAGAGAGGAAGTGGTTGCAGTTCTTTCTTTGGGACTAGCCTCATTAGGTCTGCCAATCAGAGTTGTTTGGGGGGAAAAGTTTTAAGGTAAAGACGCTGCCACATGGGAGGACCCCAAGTTAAAAGGTCAGAAAGAGCAGAGCCGACCCGCGGTGGCTGACTGGCAACGACCACCCTGCTGATGTGACATGGAAGGAGAAGCCTGTGTCTCTCTGCCCGGGCGTGGCGAGCTCATGGGCTGCGCCCCTCACCTCTCCTCAGTCTCTGTTTATTGGGAGGACAGAGGCAGCAGATGACACCTCTTGGACATGTCACCTCGTGTCTTCTACACAGACAACCCATTTAAAATTCACAGCGCAGATTCAGGGACTGAATGTCCATCGCCCGGCCTTCAGAGCGCGTGTGCCGTGCCCCACGATTCTGGTCCCCTTTCTCCCTCGCTCCCTCTTCGCCCTTTTTTTGACCTCAGCATAAACCACAAGGAAACATCAAAATATAACTGGTGACTTTTCCTGTTTTCCAAGGGGAAGATTCCTTTCCCTGGCCCACCGCCCGTGCTGGACTGCTGCATCGCACACGCTGTCCGCTGTTTTCTGTGCCTACTAAGGGACCTGGGTGGCTGTTTGTGAACGCGTCACGCTCCGCAAGGCTACGCTGTCGGAAGCAGTTTCCTACCCTGGGTCTGGCGGCATCGACTACCCGAGTCCAGTTACGTGTGGCCCAAAGGAGGATGATACAAATCGAGAACGGGGACCTGGAAAGGGGCATCCTGGGGACCCAGCATCATCGGCGAGGGAGACCGGAGTGGCTGGTCCCCGAGACACTTACATTGTGCAGCTTGTAGTAGAGCCCGCAGGCGTTGCAGACGGGGTCACCATTGGCATTCCTTCTCCAGAGGGTCGTAGTGGTGGTTTGACAGTTTGCACAGGATGTCCCTGCTCTCCTTGCTGCTGACTGAGGAGTGGGGAGAGGGGAGAAGGTGGGGGGTGAAAGCAAAACAAATGTTAAATGTGTTTTCAGAACTACAGAGACAGACTTTAAAAAAAAAAAAAGAAAGAAATTATCAATGAAATCAAAACTAGCAAGTGGCCCACATGAAAGTAAGAAAGATCCCCAGGAGCAGCCTCAAGAAGAAATTACAGCCGATCCACTGGCGGGGGGGCATGCCGGCCTGCGGCCCGGGGGTCAGAATTTAGCCTGCTGTGCTCCCGTGGGGAATTCGGGACGATCCGAAAGCCGAAGCCACCTCTCTGAGTTCATTTTCTCCCTATCCCCACGCCACAAAGTGCCCAGATGTTTCCTTTCTAGGGGCGGCAATGTCGAATTAAGCAGACTAGTACCGGGCTTTCAACAGCATCATCCGCCAGGCCCAAGAGGTCCCCCTCCTCGAGTTCAACTGCCGAGATACGACGTCTACACGAGGCTCCTGGCCATCGCGATTACCAACAGCAAAGGGGGAGCAAGCCCAGGCACCCAAAGCGCCCAGCCGCCCCAAGAGGAAAGGAAGGCCGGCGTGTAAAGAGAACGGGGCGCTGGCAGAGTGCGGAGGGGTGCATGCGTGTGGCAGAGGGGTGCACGCGTGGGGCGCGCGTGACTGGGAAGGCACCGAAGCGGGACATCAGAAGCGAACGAGACCCCGGCGTATGGGCAGCAGCGCGAACGTCACGCCGCCCGCGCTTTCGGACTTGGTCACTACGGGCACTTTCAGACTCTGTCACTCACGGTGACGGTCATCCCTATTCTCTTGGTGCGGCTTTTCGTTAACGAGACAGACTGTAAAGCAGAAGGAATCGGGGTTTTCGACGAGGACACGGCCCCTCCTCCCCCTCTCATCTCATTCCCCCTTCTGGAAATTAGGTATTTCCTATTTGCCGTGCACAGAGCAGAATGGCTGCAGGTCAAATGTCACCCTCGACTTGAATTTTAATTATTGGACTGCGCCACTGCCTTCGCGTCTTCTGAAAGGGAAATGTGCCTTTCGCTTTTACATCTATAAGGGCTCTATTCTCTCTGTCTCTACCTTTAAAAAAAAAAAATCAAACTGAGAAACTTTTGAAAGAAAATGGAATTAGGTCGCTTCTAACATCCATCTCTCAACTCCTCAGCCCCTGCACCACATGAAAAGAAATTTTTCACTACGAAATTTTTCCTGCTCCTGAACGAGACACATTACCAAAGGCGTAATGTGGAGGAGAACGCGTCCGGCTGGGCTTTACGGGCCATCGAGACAATTCCAGCGTGGTCACAAAAGCATGGAACAGACACGGCGGAGATCACTCTCCACATTTCCATCCATATTTTTTTTATCCGTCAAAAAGTTGGGCCCAAGACCGGACGCTGCCAGGTATGGCAACCCCGGTGGCAAATCTGAATGAACCAGACTGACTGCCTTCCTTTCAAAGCCACTAAATTGTCCCACAGACTTGCTCGTCCTTCCTACAAGTTTAAAAAGTAGAACCTTTTTTTTTTTTGGTAGTAATTCTTTATTTTCTGCGTTCTAAGGCACCGCAAATTTAAAAAAAACAGCCCTTCTCTCTCTTCATCGAGAAGGTTCTACTGTTTGACTGTCCATTTTGAAAATAATTCTCCCCGGCCCCAAAGCGCTGCCTCTAACCCCACCTGCCTCTACGAAACGTGATGAATTAAGACTGTACTCGTGGGAAGAAAATAACATGTTACATCATCGGTGCTTAAGGATCCTGACAATCACGCTCTCATGCGATGATAGTCATCGTCCTGTACCTTTTTTTCTCTCTCTGTCTTTTCAGGCACCGTATCTCTCAGCCTCACAACTTGGAAAGCCTAGGACACAGCACGTTGGGCCAATGGGTACAAGGAGAGCTCCAAAGGATGAGGGTCCCCCTCTGCCGTGCATTGACAATATGAGACACATGAGCAGGCTCAGAGCACGTCTCCGAGCCACGGCGTTTGGCTCCCAAGCAGGAATAAAGTGCCAGGCCACTCAGCTGGTTGTTAGACACCCGTGAGAACCCTGGTGACACTGGAAGGAAAAACGCCACGGTTGTTCCTGTCGGTCATTCTTCCTATTACCCACGCAGAGTTTACGCAGTGTTGAGATAAGCATCTGACAGAGGGGCCAGCTACGTGGGGATGGGCCCGGAGGTCCTCGGTGCGTCCACGAACGTGCAAAACGAAACTAGCCGACTGGAGAGATAGAGCTGGAAGGAAGGGGCAGGAAATATGTGACAGAAGAAAAAGGAAGGTTCTGGGTACTCAGAAGTCAAATGCACCTAAGGGCGAAAAAGGAAAAAAAACCCTAGATGTGTGTGCTCCGAGTATCTCGTTGAAGCACACGAATTCCATGGAACGAAAACGCGAAACCACCCAGAACAGATGAGTAAGACAGAAAAGACAGCTTCCAATGTGACAGCCAATGAACTCTAGAATTCAGAGTGAGTATTACTCAGAGTCTAGAGACTTCTTATGAAAGGTGAATGAAGACAAAATCATATAAAATGCCAGCAGAGCTTCCTATGCCATCCGCCCAGATAGAAGAAACCCCAAGAAAATGGCAAATGCACCCTTGTTCATCAATCAGCACACAGTCTGAGACTTGACTTCCTCTTTTTCTGTCTTGACTATTACCTTTAAAAAAAAAAAAAGCTCAATTATGGCCGTGCCATGACTTATTTTTAACGAGGTTTTTGTTGTTCGTTTTTTCTTCCCTTTTCTTTTCCTTCTTTCTTCCTTCCTTTTTTTTTAAAAAAAAAAAAAAAAAAAAAAAAAAAAAAACTAAAAAAGGCCAGGCTCTCAGTGATTCAGAACATTCTTTTGTGATGTAATCATATTCATTCTGTGCTAACACCTCCAGACTTTTTTTTTTTTTTTTTTTTTTTCAAACACGTCTTGTTCTGATACGTTCAAACATCTTGATGTTTAGATTGGGGAAGCTGAGTTGTTGTTTATGAGTTATCTCCAGAGCTCAGATATCCGGCAGCTTTTTCCTAGGAAGTTAGCTTTGCACATGAGAGAAAGGAAAAAAAAAAAAAAAAAAAAAAAAAAACACCAAAGCACATGGGGACGGGGAGGTTGAGAAAGTTGCAGAAAGGGGCAAAGATCAGAAAGAATAAAGTCTAGAGACTGAGGATTGCCAAAAATTAGTCACGTGGGTACTTCCATCCCTAGAAAGTTTTTCCTTCTGCTGAAGAGGATGTTAAAGGTGTCGAGTTGCAGTAAAACTGATGGGCAAGACAAATAATTCTTTATGAAGAGTAGAAAAGATGTGGATTCCCCCCGCCCCGCCCTCGAGAATCGGATGGATGCATCTTCATCCAGTAATCTGCATGGGGAAACCCCCTCCTCTCCTCTCTACACAGAGAATGTCATCGCCGCAAAAGGCATTTTGATCTCTTGCCTGTGGTTAGGGTGATCATCTGCCACTCTGCTTTTACTTGTCTGTTACCTCCACTTGCTATCCGAGCTGGCCTGAGCTTCCAAGGACAAGCTGACAAAGGCACCTCTCCTGCTAGTTTTCCTCATACGTGTTGGACTGTGCCAAGTTTTCCCGAGTGTTCTTACAGGTCGAGAAGTTTAACAAAGAAAAAAAAAGGTGGGGAGAAAAGCCATCACTCTAGCGATAGCAGTTCAAAGACGAGCTAAGACCAAACGAATGGCAGGTGACCCAAGAGGCCAGCCAGGAGTCACACAATTTTCCCCACAGGAATTATCTGTGGACGTTCCTCAGCTACTGAGATGAAAAACTCCACGAGTTCGATGGCTCGGGCTTGTGCCCCTGGAGGACCTGCTCTCTCCCAGCTAACTGGCCCCACCGATCTGAAATCATTGGCACACGAGGTTCCTCCAGCACTGAGGCTGTGATCCCCACCCAGGACCCCTCTTCTACGTTCTGGGGGGTGCCTGGGACAGTCCCCCCGCGCGCTTTCTGTCCAGCAGTGACTACCAGTGCATCTTAGATCAGTGCCCCTGGGCCTTTAAAAGAAGTCCTTCTGTTGGGGACGCATTTCAGATGTGAGGACCAGGAGGCCGGCACCTCGAAGATATTTGAGAACTAACTGAAGAAACGTGGGAGGGAGGGGAAAGAAAGCTTTTTCGGTCTATCTAATTTTTTTTTAAGGTGGGGAGGGAGAAAAAAGCTCTCCCAAGCAAGCTGACGTGATTTTGCGCTGTCCTGCCCATTTCCCGCAGAAAGCTGTCGCCTGAAAGACGGAAACAGACAAGGCCACACGGTTCGCTTGGACGGGTGCGTCCCCCGGACGACTCACCAGTCTCCGCTTGGGCTTAATCAGGGGTCGGTTCTGCCCGTTCATCTTGTGGTAGAGGCCGCAGGCGTTGCACAGGTAGTGGCCGGTGCCATCTCGTCGCCACAGTGGGGTGGAGGTGGCCCCGCAGTTCACACACTCCCTGCCTTCTAGAAACAAGACCACACGTAAGTCACTTAGGGAAGGGAGGTCCAGCCGAGACGCTGGCCGCGCTGGAATGCGGGAATGACAGTCAGAGACCTTCTTTCTTTTCTTTCCCGTTTTTCGGGGGGCTTCCCCACCCCCACCTCCCTGGAAGGTGGCTCCCAGGCTGGACGGGGGTTTCCCGGTGGCCCGCCTAGGGCCTCTCCCGCACACACGGTGACGTGGCCCATGAATACACCGCAGCAGAGGCGTGCTCTGGGCCTGCCCCACGCCCGAGAGAAGGGCAAACTGCCACTTCTCACAGATCCCCCACCCTCCCCGAAAACTCTGAGCCCCGGACCCCGGCGAAAGCAAGACATCCGGTTTCCTCCAAGGAAAACGAAGGTGACCCGTTCTCATCCCTATGCCTGTCTATACGGATCGATTAAATAACGAAGGTTGGGATGGGGAGAAAGGAAAGATGAATCAATGGCGAGACAGATCAACAGATAGTCAGAAGATGCCTAGATTGATCGATTGGCTGATTGATTTTAGCGGCGAGGGCTTGAGATTTTATTTCCAATAAAACTGTAAATGTCCCTGGCCGGCAAGTAATAGATGAAGACCCAGCAAAGTTCATTCCTCTCCATCCTCCTTTTTCTCTCTGGAAAAGGCCAAGGCTTTCCATAGCTTCCCAACCACTGTGACAGGGACTGAAGTGACCTCTTTAGGCAAGGGAACTGGAGATGGGGTTGGTGGGGGGCAGGGTTGGGGGCAGAAGGATCAGGAGACCAGGCCAGTTAGGAAAAGGGGGTGGGAGCTCCTAGTCGGCTCGGCTCGTTAACCAAGGCCTGCCTACAGTTGCTCTTTTTCCAAAAAAACAAACAAACAAAATAAGCAAAAAAACTGGCCAGGCCAGGTTCCCCCCAGCATTCACTCCAGGGGTGAGACAATGAGTCAGACCCTCAAAACACCGTGTAAGGACACTGATGGCTTTTCGTCTTCTGCAGGGGGAGGGTGGTTTCTGGGTGTATCTGCCCCACTGTTGGGGCCTAGTCTCCCTGCCTGGCTGCTCCAGACAGGACATCCCAGGGATCCCCTGTTCCAGTCCCCCGCTGGCCCCAGATCTCTGCAGGAGCCAGTGGCCCCACTAGCCTGAACCCTCCAGGGGAGGCCAGCCCCGAGGGCAGGGTTTTGCTCTCTTTGGGATGCTGAGAGGGAGGCTTTGGAGGATGGTAGGGGAAAAAGGTTGTTTTGATTTTTTTAAAAAAAGAAAAAGAAAAAGAAAAAACCTCAGTTACCCCAAAACTATCAGGAAGGAGAATCGGGGTGCTGGGGAACCTCGACACCCACAGGCAAGTCTGACCTGGGTCGGGCCTGTCCTGTCTTTGGAGACCCCCAGGCCCAGGCTATGGGAACTGGGGGGCTGACACCTGTGAGCCTATGCTTCTCTCCAGGGACGAACTGGGAAAGGAAAAAGACTTTTGCAAATGGAAGAGGGCTGTGCCCCTTCCACACCGGAGTCCATGCCAGTGCTGAGTAGTTTCTGCCCACTTCCTTTTTTCAAAAAAAAAAAAAAAAAATTAAGGAGTTAAGATTTTTTTTTTTCCCTCCAAATTCAAAAGAGGTTCTTAACCCAGGGTCTACACGGCGCCTTCCAAGAACCCCTGAGAGTATCTACAAAAACATGGCCCTGGCATGAGCGTGCCAGGGGCACTTTCCAGGGGACCAGCGGCATCTGTGGGTTCTCAAAAAAGGCTTTGGACTAAACTGCATCTAGACACCTTTCGCTGGGGTCCAAGCCTGCGGGCTGTGGCCGGTGCACGCGGGGGAGGCGTGGGGCGGGGGGGACGGGGTGGTGTGTGGGTGAAGAGGTGCCAAGGCCGCTGGAGGCAGGAGACGGGCAGGCTTGGCGGGCTGCGTGCCCCAAGTGGCCGCTGGGTCAGCCCCTTCTGGGGGTGGGGATGCTGGCCTGTCTTGGCTGGGGCTGCCCACTCCCCACCCCGTCAAGAGGGGGACCCCTCAAGTTCCCAGCCATTATGTCCCCTTCCTCCTTGGGCGCGGGCGGAGCTGGTGTGAGGTCCCTCTGGTCCCACGCTGCCTCCAGTGCCAGCTGCTCGGGGGCCGGAGGCCCTGCTCCCAGGCACCTGGGCTGGGGGACCTCCCAGCCTGACACACTTAGTCTAATTTCCTTTCCTTTGTCAGACAGCAGGGAGGATGACAGCTTCCTTTTCGGAGGGACCTTAAAAGCTAGCAACGGTCGCCTCTTCGGCAGGGTTCTGCGCAGTAGAGCAATTTTCTGTCCTGATTCACTTCGTGAGTTTGCGATTGCCTCGTGTGGGTTTTCCTCTCTTTCTTTTTCTTTTTCTTTTTTTTTTTTTTTCTCTCTTTTCTCCTTGTGGCCTCTAGTCTGTCACTTCAGCAAACAAACGATTTTCCTAATGGAGGCCCTGACTGTCTCCTGCTTTCCTCCCCTCTCCTCGCTCACTGCCTGGTGTGAGCTGCTCAGACAGACACCTCTCTCTCTTAGGTGACAAGAACCACAAAGCTGGGAGGCCTCTTGACATTCAACAGCCGTTTTCAAACACCCCTTCGCCTCTGACTGAAATCCTGAAACTGGGCTGGATGGAAGGGGCAGAGGGCAGGGCGGGAGGTTGTAAAGAGGAAGGTGGAGAGAGATGCCCACGGGAGGTGGGTGGGGAGCCGGGTGGGGAGCCCAGAGACCCGACCCTTTGCAAAAAGGCTTTGTCTTTTGTTTGCAAAAATACATCCCAGCTCCGACAGACAGCCCGCTGGCTTTACAAAAGCAATAGGTGCCCTAACCACAGCTTCAACCGTTTCTCCAAAATGCGACAGCCCTCTCCTCTCTCGAATCCTCTCTCCTCTTCGGCAAGAACGTTTTGCAAAGAACAGGTTTAAAAAAAAACAACAACAACAAAAAAAACAAGGCAACCGCTAAAACCAAGAGAATCCCCTCCTCAAGAATTCCCACCACTTCCACCCTCCGTGCACGGAAGGGGTCTTGAAACTTCCCCTAGCGGCTCCCACACTCCCAGAAGTCCCAGCCCCCTCGAAGCCCAGGTGTGCTGGCCTTGGGCTTTTCGACTGTGAGAAAGGAATCAGAGGAGGAAGTAAAAAGCCGAAATTAAATCGTTTCCTCTCCTCTGCCCCCACCAAAAATAAAATAAAATAGGTAGAGAGGTGCTCTTGGTTCTGGTTTGGAGAAACCACAGATCTCTCCACAACCCCCCAGATGTGCAGAGTCTTAAGGAAAGAGATGACAGAAAGAAAAAGCTGAACCAGAGGCCGAAGGCGTGAGGGGCTGAGGGGGAGAAATCGACCACGGAAATCAGGGCAGAGAAACCCAAACCAGAGGCTTTTGGAAAAGTCACTCTGGCCCCTCCCCACACACAAACCACCGCACCGGCCTCAGATACCACCATCTCCCCCTAAAACTTGTAGCCCTACCAAAAAGGAAACTTA